GAAAAAAGCCGTAGAAAATATGTCAGCAAGAGACAGAAAGGATCTAAACTCACAGGACCTTCTACTGCAGAAAGCCTTGCAAGATATCCACATGCACACACTTAAAAGGGCTAAGAAAAGCAGAACAAAATGTTCATTCTCCTCAAGAAGGATGAAACTTACAGGCAACTAAAACCAGTATTTTAAAATGACTTTGTAACTCTAGTTCTTCACTCCCTCAGCTACACAACTATTAATCTGTATGTAAATATATAAATTATAGATAGTGCAAAGTACAGAGCCTAATCAGGATTTTTCAATAAATCTTCTTTCACCCTAAATGCTCAATGAATCTGACAACTGTCTCCCCAGAAGCAGGAACCCAGCACTGAGGCCCCAGTTATACTGTTGATACCAGAAGATGGGGCATTTCATTGCTACTTTAGGTAGCACTGAAGTCACTTCACACACTGAGGTGTCCTCGTGTCTCTCCAGTCCTTCGTCAATACCTGCCCCTGTGCTCCCACCCCTGCAACTGCAGAGATTACTTAACAGTACACCCCTCCCCCTCTACCTCTTGGGCTCCCGATGCTTGTACATCACTTCCACCTTTTCTTCTTCCATAAGCCAGGGACTCTGTACCTTCCTCACTTGTTCTTGTCTTTCCAAAGAGCTTTTCCAGAGGTTTTAATTTTTGCATACTAATGATTACCTGATACTATACCTCTTAGGTTCAGGTACGGTCAACACGGTGTCACAAAGGTGACACAGCCTTCCTGTGTATAGGAATCAACTTACAGAAATCATACATATTTAATTGGCAGGATGAGCTGGATGTGCTAACTGAGGTGCAAAGCTCAATCTGCAACCAACTTCTGATTTATTCTTTATTTTTTATTTTCAGCAAAATCAAAAGACTACTGTCTTCTGTCTGCTGACCCACAATTACTTTTTCGTCAGACATCCATTTACCTGTTGTTATAATTGTTTGGACCAAAATACAAAGCCGCATGCTGAGACCTATCACATTGCACAGCAGACTTTCTCTGTACTAAGTATGATCCTCCAATCTCCTTGTCATTTTGGAGCCGAGTAACACATTGAATAAAGTCTATGCAAAGTACAACCAAAGTCTTAGTTTTCCTCAGGCATAAAAACTCCATTTGCACACACCAGACTCTTCCTTTTGGAGGGGAATAGCAGGCAATAGCTTTGGGGAGAACGACTTAAAATATTTTCTTTCCAAACACTCATTTTTCTCTCTTTCCTACTCAGACTTTTCTCCCTTAGTTACGGTAATGGTGTTCTGCAACCAGCTAGTACAAATCACCATGATAATACCTCACTACACCACACCCCCCAAATTTACATACTTTCTGGCTCTTCCTGTTTGTAATCTATTAGGATTACAGAGCTGGATTTGGTTTTGGAGCACTGCATTGAAACTAACATTATTAAGCTAGATTATTGTTCTCATTAGCGATGAACAGTCCAGAACAGTGCCTTAGTGAATCTCAGGATAATGTTTGTATTTTCCTTTATTACAACTCTCAACTTACCATTAAAGAGACTGGAGTTGAACACAACCGTCAATTTCATCAACTTTGTGAATTCCAAAAATTCACAGAGGTACCTTTTCAAAACATCTTAGGAAAAGCCATAGGAAATGGCCCTCCTAAAGGGAGGGGAAATGAACAAAAAAAGCCTATAAGACAGTAAAAAATTGAACTATTTTTCCTTTCATCGCAGATGCAAAAAAAATTTTGCAGTCCTGTGACCCTTCATGTAAGACCTGTGAGAAATCTGCTGACATATGTACTTCATGTCCAGAAGGTAAGAAACTTCAGCTTCTTTGGGTAAGTTTTGCAAGAGGCTAAAATATTCTGTATCCTACACACTTCCAGGGAATATTTCGTCAATGGTCACTAGAAAGTTCTTTGACAGCTTAAAGCATAGGCAGGTAATCAGATAATTGCCAGCTGAAGTCAGGCATCGGCTAGGAATTAAACACATGCCCTTGGCAATACGGGTAAAAAAATTGTTATGTAGATGTTGTTCCTTTTCTTTCTTTTCAGTCAAAAGTTGTAGCTATTTTGCAGGAATTACTGAATAGGGATTTATTCAGGAAGATGTACTAGGATAATCCTGATGATTCCTTCTAACCTCAAATTTCAGTGAAGGTTGAGCAAACTACTTTGGGAAATGGCTTAAAGAGTGTTTTATTCACGTTTTTAAGCATCAAAAAGTTAAATTTCAAGGAAGTTGAAAGCTTTTTTTATAGCCATCCAAGGCAGGAATCTTTTAAATATGTTTCTAATTGGTGCCTTTCCCCACCTGGGTTGCTCTTTTGCCAGGAAAATTTCTTATCCATGATACCTGTGTTTCTCTGTGCCTGCAAAGAACTTTTGGCAATGTTGCAAGTGGAAAGTGCGAGATGTGCATGGATGGCTGTGAGGTGTGCTCCGACCACTGGCACTGCCAGAAGTGTCAGGCTGAACAGGACCCG